TCTTACTCAAAGGGGGGGGGGGGGAATGTTTTAGATTCCTTGAACCCTTTTTTCTTTTTCTTTACTCAAGGGGGGGGGGGGGGAGACACCCCTGACACATATATACGTGTACTTTAATTTTTTTGTCTGTTGAGAGCCAGAAAGGCATTTCATGTTGTAATGAATCAGTTAATGCCCTTTTAGTTCTGAACAACTATTCAGATCTTTTGCTTTGTTGAACATACTTTGTCGGAAACTGGAAGAGCATCTATTTTTTTAACCTATTGGCTGACAGCACATCATGTGATGTCTCCAAAAAATCCAAATGCAAGTACCTCTTTTTCTTATTTTGATTTTAAAAAGCACACTCTTTGAATTAAAAATACACTCTTTGTGTATGAAAGGCCAGGCTACCTCAAGTACCTCAAGAACTTTAATGTGTGAAACATTATTATAAGGGCATCAAATCTGGAGTAAAACTATAGGGGCATTTTAATACACTGCAAGCTGAGTGTTGTCGTAAGTTGGTACCCATCAACACAAAAGAAACACCAGTCGAAACTCCACTGTTGTTTGCAGTGGAAATGCTTGTATTGCATGGTAATGGTAAATGGTAGTTCAAAAAGACGATATTTCAAATAGGTTTTCCTGCAATGTAAATGTTTCTTAATATTGCATGTCCTTCTAGCTATACCAGATGATATTTTGTAGTCAGGAAAAATATAATTCATTCTATCATATCCTAATTGAGCTAGTGGTTTACATCAAGATCGAATGTCCAGTGCAATATGTGATGCATCTTTACGTAGGTATCGAGTGATATAATGTTTCTAGTGATACATGTACATGTATGGGCCAAAACGTTCATGTTGTCTCTTGGCAACGATTAATGTCCGCATACTCCATGTTTGTGTTTGGATATGATGACTGTACTCTAAGGGTGGTATTCTCAACAGCGGACTAACTTTAGTCCATGGTTTAATCCACCGACTAAGTATGGAATGCCAAGTGTCCATGTAAATATATTTTTGAATAATTTCATATTTCCATAAATTACCATGATAAAAAAATTATATCATATTTTTATTGTTTTTTATTAATTATGTTATTTCATTTTATTTTAATTTAGTGACAGATTAAATTATTCAAAAACATATTCAAATGGACACTAGGCATTCCATGCTTAGTCGGTGGATTAAACCTTGGACTAAAGTTAGTCAGCTTTCGAGAATACCACCCAATGAAGTTAACTATCTATTTAGACCATCTATCAGCTTTTATCAGTCAGCCTAATGAGTATTTGGTGCCGCATCGTTTTAGAGTTTGAAACAGTGACTAATGTCTAGGAAGGAAGAAACTGCTACAGATTTTCATTAAGATAGCCATAATTGTAGTTGTATTCACTGTAAATGGTTATATGTAAATTATAGATATCCTTAATCTATCATAACAGGAGAGTTCAGAATGAATTCTTTATACAGGTAATTATCAGCAGCATCCTTATTTTGTAGCTTAATTCTGCATACACTTCAAAATATGTTCTCAAAGGCTTGAAAAGCACCTTCAAGATTTTTTTCAAAGAACAGGTGCTTCTGGAAGTAGTTGTATTTATTTATTTATTTATTTATTTCGTTTTACTTCAACAGGGTAGGCCCATCAGTAGTTGTAATACTGTTATACTTGGGTGCCCTGCATAACATAAAAATACATATAAATACAAATATACATGTACATGAAAACATCATTACATGGTGAATAGTGAACATGATATACCAGAAAGCATACAGATTATATTTCAAATGTAAATGTAAACTCAGCGAGTAATAAAAATCCCCCAAATTCAAGTCATCAAGCAAATCATACATACTGGTAAACAAATTTTGAAAACAAATCCTTATAGGACTAGTTGATCAAATGTTTATACATGTATTTCTGTAAAACTTGTAATATCATTTCACTGGTTTTGCATTACCGGTATATATATATATATATATATATATATATATATATATATATATATATATATATATATATATATATATATTCATATGCATGCAGGCTTGCATGTACAGCAGAGTACATGTATATTCTGTAAGATTTATGTAGCGTGTTCGTGAACCTTACTATAAAGATTTTTAGACTTTCTTTGTTACTCAAAGATTGGATGAATATTAAAAATCGGACAAATCAATCGGGCTGCTAATTTTGTCCATCCTCCCCTTTTCGCATTGACATTTTTTTTTACTGGTAGGCTTTAACTAAATTTTAGGCTTGGCTGATTATAACATTTATATCTACTTTTTAATTTCTTAACATATGATTGCGCATTGGTACATGTACACATGTTTTCACCCCCCCCCCTTCTGGCATATACATTTACTTAAACCCCCATGTCTCTGTCATGGTTTTGGGATTAAATGTAGACTTGATTAATAACCAAGATTAACTTGGCTAGCATTACTCATGTACAGATAACATTCCTTTTAACTCTCAGTCCTGGCTTAGTGACATTTCCATTCCGATTCAACTTTAAAGGTATAGACCAGTTCTGATTATGTGATTGCATTGTGAAAGAAACATTGTGAATATCTATCCAGGCTGGATCGATATCATCATTTACCAGATATACCAATTAGTAGGCGTTTTCCCGGCAAAATTTGTATCATCACGTATTCGTCAAAAAATATTGTTTCACATGATTGGTAATAAGAGCTTCCATTTCATTTTTTGAGATAGGGACATTCCAAAACTGGTGTTTACCTTTAAAGGAACTGCTCAAGTCCTTTTATATTTGTTTGTCTGATATAAAAGACAGAATATCATTTTATGAGTGAGCCAATTGCCTGAATTTGATGTCTCTTTAAATATGTTTACTGTGTTCATGCAGGGGTCCACACATATTTTTTTGGGGAAGGGGTCAGGATCAAACTTTTTAGTCATTATGCATAAGCCCTATGTAAAGATAAAACATTTTTATGGGGGGGGGGGGGGGAGGGGAGGGGAGGGGGCTCCTGGCCTAGAATTTTCAGAAGGGGTCTGGATCGAACTTCTTACAGTCATATGCATGAGCCTGTAAAGATTTCAATGACACTTGCTGCAAGATGGAGCAGGCATGACAACCCCCCCCCCCCAAAAAAAAAAAAAAAAATAAAATAAAATAAATAAAAATAAATAAATATATATACATACATATATTTTTCAAAAGTTCAACTTTTGAACTCCTTGAGTCAGCCCTTTCCATTGGTATGATGTCTATTGAGTGACAGTGTGACCAAGGCATTAGTTGTAATAGTTTTGTTCCTTCCTTCCCTGTATCTCTATAAACAAGGAAATGATACGGTAAGCTTGAGGTTAAAGGCATTGTTTAACAATGTTAAATCTGAGATGCATGGCCCTACGTGTTATCAGTGTCTGTTATATGGTGTAATATTGAAGCCCTAAAAAATTGCACTTTAAAATGATCATGAAGTGCCTCAAAAGACCGGTTTTACCATACTCATTTCCCCCTATAGACTAGTATTATAATTAAAAAAATTATGAAATTTAGATTTCCAATCATATATCTCTATAATCAGACAGGCGATCGGCTTGTAAAAGTCATGGTGTTCCTGACTGACCTAAATGTTTTCATTGCAGCATGAGCTAAATCCAGGATTTTGTTTCAGAAGCTGAGACAAAGATACCCAATCCCTACTGTATTGAAATAGTAGATTTTACATGAAAACAATTACGAGCAAATATATATTCTTGGAGAAAACTTGTTGTATCAGGAAGATTTTTTGAAACAATTGACATGGAATATTGAATTTGTTTTTAACTTGAGTCACAATCATTTTGTCTCCAAATAATTCATTCTAGACTAAGGGCAGAAATTTCAATTTATCTGTGATTGCAGAATATTTGAGTTGATAGTACAGACGTGGTTAAGTTTCCTTTTGACTTTCTCAAGGGCTTTTTTTTAAATATTAAAATGTACATTAGTCAACATTTTCAGTATGCTGAAATATTGACTCAAAGTGTAGGCTCATATCCCAGACTTTTCGTGTAAACATAGCGATATTGTGTACTGCGTTATTGATGATATTGGGTTTGTAGTGTGCTGGTAAGAGACTACTGCCCTCACACTCAACTATGCACCTCACACCCGCGCTGAGCTGAGGCCACCGAGTGTGCTAGACCATTCCATTACAGAAGAGGGAAATGGGGGAGGAAGGGGCTTGATTAGAAGCAGGCTATGCCAATCACGTCACAGCAATGGACACCTTCCTATTTCTGTCTAAAATTAGAATATTTTCTCTCTCCCCTTTTTTTGAGCAATTTCTGATGATAAAATATGCAATATTTAGCCCAGCCACGTTATATTTATACATCTACATATATATTCATATGATATAAAGCTGTGTTTTTAGATTTTTACAGTAATTTTCAAGAATGTTTTAATAGTTTGAAGTTCTGTATAGCTTTTACGGAGATATTAAATTTCCATGAGTACAGTGTATATGGACAAGATGTGGGTTGTGTGTGGGTGTGTGTTGTGAAAGAGAGCAGGAGAGAGAGAGAGAGAGAGAGAGAGGGGGGGGGCATGGTGAAACATGACTTGAGTCTATGGAAATGACTCTGTACCCTTAATCACATCACACTCGCGTACCATCCCTCCGTCCATTCCGAGATATCCCGTTGTAATGCTTCCCCGCGCAACGTGTCATCACGCCTGGCAAAAACTATATGGGGATATAACTGGTGAAGACGTAACAGCTCCCGACAAGCCATGTCAACTAATAGCACGATCGCCACCGCCAGGACGCTTCACATTAGCCCGTTAAGACTACAGACGACTCCCGCACAGCGTGGATAGTAACGTGACCATACAGAGTGCTAGGACTACGTAATTAAGGCTTATAAGTGGGGGGCTAATTCTCTTTCCTCTGAGCATTTTCGGTATTCCTAGCTCTGGCCATATTTTCGGTGTGGTGGTGTGTACGAGATATGACTGTTTGTCCGTTTGCTTTCTTTACTCTCAGGATCTACAAAAGGACAGGTTTGATACCCTGACACGGTCATCTATGGGGAGAGACGATAGAGCAAGGTGAGTGCACTTTTCAAAACGTGTATTTAATACATTCTCTATAACATTCTCTATGTAGACATACTTTGCCTAGCTGAAAAGATAATGTTCTTTCAATATGTTTGACTGTCACGAACATAGGTCAATGTCGGCTTCATTTATGGCTCGACTGCAGGATATCCGACCATGCATCACCTTTGATGTCTGACAATGTGGGCAAGGTTTTGAGTTAGGGTCAAGGTCAGGGTCAGGGTTAAGGTTAGGGTTATGATGATGGTTAAGGTCAGGCTTAGGCCCTAAGACTAGTGCTACATATAATAGGTCAGGTTTAGGGTTATACTTGTGTGATGGGGTATTCTGCAGTTGCTCCACATTTACTGCTGTGTGAAAGGAAGAACATTTATATCGGTTTGACTACTCTGACTGTAGGACATGTCACTTTATGTCCTACAATATCGATTGTTTACATTGTATCTCAGAAGCAAGGGATAAAGGAACAATTGCTCATGCTTTGAATGCATTTCTTCCATCCTATTTCCTAAGCGTTTCTATCTCCTAGAGGTACATTCTTACAAGCTAGGTTCTGCATGTCGATCCCCCATCTGTGGAAAGGTCTCCTATCCATGGATCTGCACAAAATTGTGACAGGAGCAGACCTTGACAGGACGTCAATTGCAGCTAGAAACAATTACGGGAGACTGGGGTTTCCACAATAGTCTCCTAGCTGCCCAAAGCATTGCCTTGCAGCTGGCTGTTCGTCACAACAAAACAATCGAGTCATAGATACCTTGAAGTAAAAAAGAAGCGCTGGCCTGATTCATATGGCACTTTCATTCACACTCATGTTATGTTTTTTTTTGCAGTCTACATTTTTTTTTAATGCAGAGGACATTGGGTTGGTTTTTATATTTTCCAATATTTTACTTAACCTCAACAACATTATATGCTTCCATTTTGAAATACAGGTAACCTTAAGTTTTTATTGATTAGAAAAATGCAAAATTGTCATAAAATTTCACAAAAGTTTTATCCCCGTAAACAATTTGATTGGAAATGTGTAATAAGTGGAGGATAAGTAGTATAAAAGTATCTTTGACTACACTACAGTATATTGTCCCATATGTTCATATCCATGTTGGTATTTTTAATGCAGCCTCCTTGAAAGTTAGAAACTTCTGCGATTTGTTCAACGAAATTGCCCCTTGTTCTGGTTAAATCCCATGGGCAAGGGGCAACTTAAAAAAATTATTTCAAGGCTTGTTTCAGGTCTGGGCTTTGTGATGGAAACTCCATTACTTCCACTTTGTTTTTCTTGAGCCACTCACATACTGCTTTTGCAGAATGATTTTAAGGTTGTTGTCAAGTTGGAAGACCCAATCATGACCCAGATGTTAGGGTTTTCAGAGTGAAATGCCTCTCCTTTACTTCACCAAGCGTAACATTGGTCATTGTGGCCATAAAGCTTGATCTTGGTATCGTCTTTGTGTTTTGTGGAGTACGGTCCATTTGCGAACTTCATTCTGGCTTGTCCTGGTCCCGGAGAAGGAAGAGACTTCTTCCTAGCTTCCAGTTCCTAGCTTCCAGTCTGTGATTGTGGAGGATCGACCTGCTATACAGCAGTGGACGATACCTTGATCCCCAAAGCCTTCAAAGTTTGAAGAATATCCCTCTTTGTCAGCCCTGGGTTTAAAGATAAAGACCAGTTATGGTCATGCAATTGCATTGTGAAAGAAACGTTGTGCAATCGATCGAAAAGGTTGATCATCTAGCATATAAGTATTAGTGTGTACTGCAAGGTTCTGGGATCATCAAAATGATAAGAAATTCGGCCCAGTCTTGGTAAAGTTACAAGCACTGTACACAGAAAGATGTATATGGGACTATGCACACGTGCACAACACATGCGTTATATCAATTAGTAGGCGGCTTTTCGCCAAATTTGTATGATCACGTATTGGTCAAAACATATTCTTTCACATGATTGGTAATAAGAGCTTCCATTTCATTTTTTGAGAGGGGGGCGTTTCCAAAACTGGTCTTTACCTTTAACTGCACTGTGCAGACAACTCTGTGTTCTGATGATGGAGTGAGCTTCCGCTTTCCACCCGACCATGGTAGAGTCTGTGCTGTCCAAGAACATTGTCCTTGCATATGATGGTTTGTATATAGATGACTGGAGGGTGTTTCACAAAGATTCTAAATCAAACTTAACTCTAAGTTGGACTTAAATATTATGGAGAGCCATTTGTAGCCTTATAATGAAATATATTCATAAGCAAAAATTCAAGAATTTTGGATTTTTCATGAATTCATCAAGAACATGAAATCTCCAAAGATAATAGAAAATATGACTGATTTGAATCAATATTTTATGCCTTTTAAAATAATTTTTACAAAATATTTTCAATGATGCTAACGGCTTTCCATAATTGTTAAGTCCAACTTAGAGACAAGTTCTTTTTGTCTGTCATGTTCATAGTGTAAGGATCTTTGTGAAACACCCCCCCCCCCTCGATGTATGTTGAGAGTCTTCAATATGGCCCCTAAAAAAGAGCCTGCCCCCTAAAGTAGAGCCTGCTTTGCGCAAAGCAACAACACACTCGGATATCCTTGCTATACTCATTACACTTCCCCTTGGCACCAGGTTTGTATTGCTCTTTGACATCTTTTAGTGTCCAAGAACACTTTAAATACCCACTTTAGACCTTACTACATATTTGTGAAGAAATTTAGACAATTTTGAAGTAAATTCAGACATGCACTCATCTGCTCATTAATCCACTTCCTTGCATTTTGCAAGGATGGAATTTGAATATTGTTCAAAGGTAGAGTTTTGCACTAAGTTTGAATTGATTTTGGAATTACATTCTGTAGTAATTTGCACATCACACATTTAAGTAAAATGCAATAATTTTTCATGAACACAAATTAATTTTGACCTCTAATTTTCCGGAAATATAACTATTATGATTAATGTCTTGGAATGATTGTACATGTACATGTATATGATGGAAAAACAATTTTTATCGAGGAGACACCCGATGTGTCTGTTCTCATGAGAAGAAAAGTTGACTAGAATGAATCGAGCTGTAAAAATGTGAGGAAACTTGAGTGTTTTTTTCTTCACCAGGGGTTGATAAACTGTTGGGCCTCACTGTACAGTTTGCACAGAGCTACTTCTTTCATCTCCACTTGCCTTTCATTTAACCCATTGCCTATTAAAGGAAACTGGGTGGTCCCTTTATTAAAGTTTTGGTTATTTACAGAAAATTAAGTAGTCAACAGGTTAATACACACAAGAAACACTGCTGTTTACCATGGCAAATGTGAACAACCCTTTAGCCTTTTGAAAACTTGAGTTAAAGATAAACCCCAGTTCTGGTAAAAAAAAGAAAATTAATTCTCACAGAATCAAACAAAACTTACACTGAATGTTCAAGATTCCAAATAAATGACATGTGCCAAACAATTTTAGAAGACAATGTATACTGGCTGAGTAATGAGCATAGAAAGACAAGGAAATCAAGGTAGTACTAGCCCTGACACCATGTGTGTTGTCCCATATAAAGGTTTCTGTGTACAGTGCTTGTTACTTTACCAAGACTCGGCCAAATTTATTATGATTTTGATGACTCCAGAACCTTGCAGCACACACTAATACTGACATGCTACATGATCAACTGTTTCTGACCCATTCCACACCTTTTCTTTCACAATGCAATCGCATTACCAGAAATGGAGTTTATCCTTAACCTGTTGACTACTGAATTCATTCATTGTCATAGTGTTAGCACAGGGGTTATCCGGTTCCAGCAGGCAATGGGTTAATGGACATGGATTCCCAGGCTGAGGAGCACCTTGGTCTCATTCCAGAAAATAAACCGCAATGATTATGTAATCCTATATATTACCTACACTTATCTGCTTCTAAAGGGAACCTCCAGGCCAATTGTACTGCAGCTAGCGTTTGGGATTCCAAATATTTTATGATCACAGGTTGGATCTGGATTGAGCAATCAAATTCAGTCAAGTCTTTGATGTCACATTGTTTTTTATTTTAATGTCTTTGTGTATTTCATTTCCAGACATTGTTTACAAACAAAACAAAATGGAAATTTTATATATGGCAATTTTCAAAGACAGAACAATTACCGTGCCACCAGTGCAATTTTGTGCATATAAAAAAAGAATATTACTTTTGTTTCAACTGTTGTATCTCTCCATCTCTTACTGAATGAACTATAGTAATAAAAAGAAAAATAATTGTACTGTAATTGATTTACCAACAATTTTTTCCATACTTACAAATGTAGGTTATAATTTGTCATATTTAATACATTCACTCTTTCATATATTGTTAAAGTCTCATGAAAAATTTAAAAAATCCTATCAATACACCGTTGAATCCAAATCCAAATCCATGTCTATTAAAAGAGATCTTTAAAAGTCTCTCCATTTGCACAAGGATATGGGTATAAACTGTATGATATCTGATATCTAGCGATATCACTTAATCTTGTGTTCACATTTTAATTTTTTTTTATTACAATAGAACTTAGGAAAGCTGCTCCGTCACTCTCTGTTGGTCTTTGTAAAATCTCATGAAAGTTAATTACTTTTAGAGAGTGCTAGCAGATGTTTTGTCTTGATATTTTTTTGGTGAATAACCATTAATCTAGTCATGAATAATAAACAGTGAATAAAAGACACCTAAAAAGTATATTTAGGGCACTGACCTGATTTGTATGATGATTTAAAGTTTCTCCATTTTTGCTAGGACACAGTTTACTTGTACACTATGCATATGGTGGAATGCATGATGCTACAATTATTAATTTTCATGTCACAATCATATTTTAATTGTTCAGAGTAAAATTGTATTACTTTTGCCCCCCCCCCCCAAAAAAAAAAAAAATGGCAAAAAGATTTTGTTTTCTTCTGAAATCTTTAAAAATGGTTCAGATGGTTAACCTTGTAGCTACTGTACATGTATGTGAAGCACAATGTTTAAGAGTTTTTGT